AGACATGATTAGTTAAGTATTACAGTCAATTGAGTCGCCCGAGCGACTAACTTGCCGATCAGTGGTGAAGATAAAAGAAACAGTTCTGTTCTCACCTGTATCATATAGAGCTTTTGTTTTTTTAAATATATTTATTTAACCAAACTTTTAGATAAAGTATTCAGGATTATTAAAAAAAAAATGGTGTGTCTAACGAAATTCAGGGTTGTTATGATTTAAATCAAATGATTTAAATCACATGATTTAAATTGATTTAAATCAGAGTAAAAAAATCATGATTTAAATCAAAATGATTTTTTTACTAATAAATGTTTTCTCATCACCTCATCCAAGCACCTCACTTTCAAAAGCTTCATCATTATCATCTCTAGTTACAGATATATCAGATGCTCCTTCTCCCTCACCATTTAAGAGAGATAAGAGGGATAGTTCTATGGAACAAAGAAGCATAACTGGTTTTGTGATAAAAACTACTAAGTCTGAAAAAGTCACTTTGGATCAGCAAGTTGCTAATTATATATATGCAACAAATTCCCCCTTCCGAACAGTGGAGCACGAAGAGTTTATCAAGATGATTAAAGTGCTAAGACCAGGATATGTTCCACCTAATAGACATCAAATTGGAGGGTCTCTTTTGGATCAAGCCTACGATTCAGTGATTAAGAATTATTCAGAAGAACTTAGTGGGAAAACAGTTTGCATGGCCATGGGTGGATGGAGTAATGTCCATAATGAGCCTATAGTATGTATAACTTTAACAGCGGACAACCGTATTTATCTTGTTGACTCTATAGACACAGAATCAAGACACACAGCTGAATATCTGTTGAAATTAGCTGAATGTGCTACAAAAAAGTGTGAAGACAAATTTGGATGCACAGTAAGAAGCTGTGTAACAGATAATGCTGCTAATATGGCAAAAATGAGAAGTGAATTCGGACAAGATAAATCCATTATAACATATGGTTGCTCTGCACACCTGTTAAATTTGCTTTCACAAAACCTGCAAATCAAGAACATTAAGGAGCACATTACTGAAATCATTAAGTACTTCAGAAATCATCACATCCCAGGATCTTTGTATAGAAGAGCAGGAGGAACAATGCTAGTAATGCCATCAGACACACGATGGAACACAGTGACAGATTCTATTGAATCTTATTTAAAGAACTGGGAGACCCTTGTCAAAGTGTGCAAAGAAAATAGTGAAGACATTGATAAGAAAATTGAAAGGAAAGTTAATGATAAGGCATTAAAAAGAACTGCAGAAGACTATTCAGAGAGACTTAAGCCTATTGCTGTGGCATTGGACTGTGTCCAGAGAGAACATTGACACCTACCCATTTTCTAGCTCATGTGATAGATCCAAGGTATCAGGGCAGACATCTGACTCCTGAGCAGCGAGACATTGCAGAACAGTATGTGTGCGAGTCTCTTCCACATTTCCTTTCAACATTAATGTCCTTCCATGGAAGAAGTGCACCATTTAAAGAGGTCCATTTTGGTAAAGATGTTGTAAAATCTCTCTCACCCCTTGCTTGGTGGCAGTATTTTGCCAATGATACGACAGAAAATGTAATGGATGTTCCTAGGCAATTATTTACAGCTGTTGCATCATCAGCAGGGGTTGAGAGAATTTTTTCCACATATGGATTTGTTCACTCAAAGGTAAGAAATTGCCTAGGACAGGAAAAGGCATCTAAGCTTGTCACAGTACATAAGCATTTCAATGTTCAACTAAGCTAATTTAAATGTTTTGAACTATTTTTTTTGTTTACAGAATGAGAATATTGTGTTGACTTGAAGTTTTACCGGTAATTCTTAATACACTATAATCCTACAAATGTAAGAAAATAAACTTGTTACCAGTGTTATTTTTTTTACAAAATGAGAATATTATTCTGTTGACTTGAAGAAGTTAAGTTATTAATTTTTGAAACACTGTAATCCTATAAGAGCATTTATGTTAAATTTCATTATTACGTTTGGATTTGTGCACTCAAATGTAAGATATGTTACCAGTTTTCTTTTATTTTACAAAAAGAATATTATTGTGTTAAATTCCATTGGTACATCTACTGCATAGGTAAATATTTTAATGTCAATTTTCTGTTTATTATCCTGAATAAGCTTTGGTTGAAAAATACTGTTTTCATGGTTTAAAATCACTATTTTAATGCAATTAGTAAAAAAAATAAAAAAATCGATTTAAATACAAAAATCCGATTTACATCAAATAAATAATTTTTTTTTAATTTTGAAAAAAATCATGATTTTTTCCAGAACTGATTTTACTGACTCTGTATCAACATTTCTTACTTTCTTTTTTTTTGTAAAATAATGGAATTCACATCACTATATCACACAATGTTTGAGATATATTTAATTGTGCTGGGATCATATATCAGTGTCTACCAGTGGGAAGGAAGGAGGAAGTGACTGTAAAGTTCATCTACTACATTCTTCAATACACATCAATCTCATCTTTACTCTTTACTATTGAGAATTAAGATTAATATAAGGATAAGTCTGTGTGTGACATATTCATGTGTGTGTGATGACAGCAAATTAATATAAGCTGTTGGGGGTGCTTTGGCAACTCATTTCCACTCATTTTCTAATCACCCACACTTTTCACGCTTTCTCCTCTTACATTTAAATGTTATGTAATATATCAGGAATCTCCGCCTTTGCTCACTTATACTTATACTTATCACAATCTCTGTAAAAATACTTTAGGTTTCGTGTTTATTCAAGACACCTTCAGGTCATGAGACCCACTAATCCCCCGGCCAAGAAAGGTGACCTGACATTCCATCAGAAGGTCAGTAATATGAGGCTACTAATCCCACACCCTACCTTGACCTGACATTGAGTCAGGTCAGGTACATGATACCCACTAATCCCCCACAGCTCCATGGGAGTAGAACATATCATATAGATTTTTATTTTCAAATACAGGTTGTACCTCTCTAGTCCGGCAACCTTGGGACCTGACCGGTGCCGGACCATGGAAATTTCCGGACCATGGAAATTCACCCTTTTCCTGGATAGATAGTGACTTGTGCTTACGCTTGGATGCACTAGCACCACTTTCACTGCTTTGTGGGCTCTTTGAAGATATAATGAAGAGTTAAATGTTGAACAGTAGGTTCTCAAACTTTGGGAGTTTTTAATTCAACGTTTTTTTATTTTGAAAAAAAAAATGCAATTTAAAATTTTGATGGCGGAAACTCGAATTTCAACGGGTTTGAGCGGCCCGCCAACGTTCAGACATGCACAAATCGTGTAAACAGCGTCATTTCTCTTATGTACAAGAGATTCATTATTGTTTATTACTGAATGTCTTTTTGATTTAATTAATTTTTATATGTGCAAAATGAGCAATACAATTCATTAAAAACACGTAGAATATTAGAACACACGAGGAGATGAGACGGCATTGTTTTCGTTGATTACAAAACCAGTGGCTGACTGGATCTACATATAAAACTGAAGAAAATAAGACCCTGGTTGTAGCTGTTGTAAAATTAATGTAAAAAATTAATATGGTTGCTTTAAGTAATGTTATTTAATGTTAATAAATGGAACAATATAAGTAGCTAACCATTAATGGTAAAGAAAAAAGTGAGCTCACGTATGTAAGTGCGCACATGTGAAAACATATCGTCATTACTCTACATAAGAATATGAAAGCAACACTTATTTACTGTTCATATAGATTTTAATTAATGTTTCTGAATTTAAAAAAAAAATTCTACCCACCAGTGGTGTTAAAGTTGAAAACATAAGGACAGCCAATGTTGTTGTGTGTGTTTTTACTCGGATGACGTATGCTCAACTCTAGCTGAAGCTGTAGAACATAAGAACTTTGTTTTTAGTTTTTATTTAATTTTATCTGTGTTATTTTCGTTGGTTTAATAGGATGTTGCTTTATTACAGGTAGTAATTCCCCCAAAAAGTAGGGTAAATAAGGCAAAATTTAGCCAAACATCGAAAGTACCAGACTCAAATTTATTTTCTCCATGGGCAAACTTAAATCGTTCCGGACCACGGGAGTGTCCGGACCACAGAATGCCGGACTAGAGAGGTACAACCTGTATATTTATTTTATCAAACTTTCAGATAAACTATTCTGGATTATTGTAAAGAAATGGCGTTTCTAACTTAATTAGAACTGCATTTACGGACTCCTTTAGTTTAGACTCAAGGAAAACATCCCCAGCACCCAGAAACATTCTGGGGAAGTGGGCTAGTGTCTGTGTGTGCATGATGTCTAGTTTAGACACTCGGAAACTTTTCCCAGTAACCGGAAAAGATTCCGGGGATAAGGAATTTTTCCGGGTTTGAGGAGGTCGTCTGGTTAACTGGAAATCTCTCATCACAATTGTTCCGGCTAATGGGGATATCACTGTATAATGATTAGTTACTACACTAAATATACATGAGGAACAGTGGCCTCCAATATTTACAATGAACAGAGTTGTGTATTACACAAGGAGTTCTTTAAATTTAGGGAACAATTTATTTGTCTAAGATCACTAGAAAGACAGACAACTAACATAAAAGAGAAAGGGTTAAAGTGATTTGAGTGCATAGTACCTCCTAAAAAAAAACAATACAAATGCTATCCTCACATTTACATTGTGCAAATCTTTCACAAAAAATTATTTACAACTTCATAAATATTTAACTTGTTTTCAGAGAAATATCCACTTGAATACATTACACAAACTGAACATTTAAATACACAGAGGCATTACTGTCTCTGTGCCTAAAGTGCTTAGCTACTGAATATATTATCCTATATCTGCCAAGTTATACCATTATTATGTGGTCCCTTCCAGTCAAAAATTGTCAGCTAATATCTCAGTAGGGATGTGTAGAAAGAGTAAAGTGGGAATTTTAACCTGATAATCCAGATATGGTTGAAAGGTTGACTATCTTACTGAGACTCCTGATGTGATGAATATGATGAAACCTCAACTTTTACATATAAAGAAAACAAAGTCAGATTATAATAAAATAATACTTACAGCTAATTTGATGCATGCAGGGCTAGAAGTACAGTCACCAATTCTCCGTACACTGTTGTAATGGTCTCCATTATGGTATGATATGTGAAGTTCTGCCATATTTTTTTTCCCTTCTCTTCCACAAATCTTCATTATTAAAGAGAAACAAAATAGAATTAAATTCAGACTAAAATGAAAAGTATATGAAATGCACATTTCTGACACAGTAACAGAGGACTGAATTATGATACAATATTACCTTTTATGACTGAGGGGAGGAAGCAAGTGACCTATAGGAGCAAGATTACCAATAAAAACTTTCTAAGCCAACCCTCAGCTATGAGGATGGTACTCTAAATGATTGAAGCTCTTCAAAGGGAGCATGGAGTGGTAACGTGCACAGTGTTGCCAAGCGCTCCTCACCAGCTGATGTTTATCTCGCCACCAGGCAGTCAAACTTAAGTCAGTCAGTCAGTCAGTGTGTGTGTGTGTGTGTGTGTGTCAGAGTTATGATCTCACATGATAAATGTTATTGCCACTGATACCAGATTATAAGGGGAAGTGATAGTTAGGATAGGTGATCACAGGTGCCAGCTCCTCACACACACACCCTGCAGGTGTAAGGTGAGGTGACAGAAGTTATGACCTCATATGATAAGGTTTACCACCACTGACATCAGCCGGAAGTGGCAGTTGTCAAGTGGATGGAGAAGGGTGAAGGTAAAAAGGATTTAGATGGACACATGTGATCTGTGAATTGATAAACATAAGCAATTTGAATGTTTTAAGATTTTTATTTAAATTTTCCCATCAAAAAATCTGGGCAAGCAAATTTCCTCCAAAAATATGTTAGGGCAAGTAAATTTCATAATTCAGTTGCCTGGGACAAGTAAATGTTCTCTATAATCTGCACAGCCTGATGTAAACTTAAAGTTATGGTTTGGAAATCAAAGTGTTAACAAGTGGACTGGCATAGAAACATATCTTGTATCATCCTTTAACAAGTCAACAGGCTGATATACACTCATACAGACAGACAGCTCCAACTCACTGTATGCACCATTTTACATAGGCACATGAAGAAAGTTTCATAAGCCTTGAAACTTGCTTCCTCTACAGAGCTATCCTGATCACTGTAACAGACAATTTTTGCAAACAATGTTAGTGCTTTTATTGTGTTTTAAAAATTATAGTATAATCAGGTCTGTGAACAATTCTGTAAGAAACAACCAAACTATGCACAGCTTGGAATATGAGGAGAAAAAACAAAAAACAAATAAATAAAGTGCACACCTGCCAGAGTGGAGCATTCAGTTGGTGGATTACAACCACAACTTCATGAAGACGAGCAAAGGCAACAATACAATCATTCCCTCCATAGGTGCCAAGTTCAGCCAGGTTACTCACTGTGGAAAAAAAGACTTGGTGTTAGCTGACTTCCTCAAATCTCAATTTGCATACAAAGTATACAAGGACATCAATCATCATAAAAATCGTGCAAAGATCATCTGTATAATTCAGTACAGTAGAACATCGATTTAAAGCAATTCAATTTATGATTACTGTTTTGATTTAAAGTGACACCCACAATTAAGGACATTGTTTTAATTTAAAGCGAATCTCTCCTATTTTGCGAGAGTCAATCTGGTGCATCATATTTTAAAATTCGAGCCTAATGTTTCTCTGGGCACGTTACACTGTCCTAAGGGCAAAGCTGTACTGTACATGTACTCAAAATAATGTACTAAATGATTACCAAAATTTTTGTCTAGTGCAAACTATAGCATGATTATATTCAAACTAATCACTGTCTTATAAGAATTCCAGCAATGAAAATTATATTCTCCCCAGTCACTTCTGTGACATTTTATAAACAAAAAACAAAAACTCAAGCTAAAGGACATAAATAAATAAATAAATAAATACTTCACTAGACCTTTGGCCCAACTGTCAAACATGTCACTGTCACCTCTCCTTCCTCCCTCTCCCCCATCTTCCCAGCCAGGGTTTGGTGGTTTTAGGCTTTTATGTTTTTATATTATATAATATCACAGACTAAAGTTAGGGGAATGTAATTTGCATTGCTGGAATCCTTGCAAGACGGCAGATAATTTGAATATAAACGTCATATATTTTACACAAGAGATAAAAATTTTAGCTCTTTGTAAGAAAATTAATTAGAACATGTCAGTTCAGTGATATTTTATAAGAGAAAAACTTAAAATCACTCTTTAGGACAGATAAATAAATAAGCACTAGACCTTGGCATTAACTGTCAAACATATCACCTCACCTCTACCCCCACCCCATCTTCCCTCAATTTTAGCTGTGTTGATTTATGAGTGTTTGTTTTAACATAATACTACAAAAAACAACATTTCCTTTATTCTAGGAGAGGGGCTGAGGTGCATCTGGGTAGACTCTCAGTCTTTTTAGAATTATGTTTCTCTCAAGAACCAAAGTAAATTATTCCATTGATACAACACTTCGATTCAGTGCGAATTCGGTTTAAAGCGACCCCTCTTGGAACGTATCTTGTGTTATATCGACGTTTTACTGTACTGTATTACAACACAAGTATCACCCTTTGATGAAAATACAAACTAACTCACAGTGCCTCTCAAAGGGAACATCATCTTCAACAAATGGCTCAAAATCATTGCGGTTTTGCCTCATGTAAGCCACAACATCTTGTCTATGTTTCTGATGAGTATTTGGCGTACCATCAAGCTGATCTCCAAGAGCTCGGAATAAACAATTTCTGCAAGAGAAACAAGCCAGTTAATCTTAGTGTTATATTCATAATAATAATTTGATGACATTATATTCATTGTGAAAATTATTTTGTATAATCCCATGCAATAATCCTAAATTGAAAAAAAAAAAAAAACTCCTAGCAACTTGCCCAACAGAGCCCTAAAGCACCTACGGATATGCAGATAGTGGTTTTGTATGAATTTAACATGAAATAGTCTTATTGTTGGAGATAATCATGGATTTCTTACGATAATTTGTATAATCCATGATTCACGTGTAATAAAAATATGAATCGTGGTGAGGTTTTGTTATTATTACATATAATTAGTCTGATGACGTACAACAAGAATCAAGATTTGGTGGGTTTACTAATACATTCGGCTTTAAGTACCTCAATGCTTCACCAAACAGCTGGTTGAAGTCTTCATAGAACTTCATTAAAGATGATTAAACCATTAAAGGTTGACAATCCCTTATCCGAAATCCTTGGGGCTGGAATTATTTCGGATTTCGGAATTTTTCGGATTTCAATATATATATATATATATATATATATATATATATATATATATATATATATATATATATATATACACTAGACCCGACTTACGATACGTGGACTTCGACCGTGGGACTACGACATATCAGATATACCTGTAAATTAAAAAAAAAAATTTTAAATGACACACGCATTTTCTATACCGAAACGTTTCCAGTTAATGTAGTCTCCATGTATAATTAGAAAATTATGGGGGCCCCATGTGCATTCAGCTGACTACATTAAAGGTTAAGTGCTCAGTCACACTGTATCCATTCCTTATTATTTATTACTTTCACTGTACTGTATCCATTCATCATTATTCATTACTTTTACTGTACTGTATTTCATTGTAGATTTTTAGTAATTTTTTTTTTTTTTTTTGCTGCATACTTCGACCTGGATTTTGGATTCTATTTACGTCGTAAGATAGAGGATCCTAGATATTGTATATATATATATATATATATATATATATATATATATATATATATATATATATATATATATATATATATATATATCTCTCTCTATATATATATATATATATATATATATATATATATATATATATATATATATGCAAAGTAATCACTTTGTGTATATATATATATATATATATATATATATATATATAGTCATGCGCCCCCCCCCAAAAAAAAAAACACGTGACGCCTGCTGGATCACCACTGCACGACCCCCTGAAGGAGACACGATGATCCTCCCCATACTGGTCAGATATTATGTGTTAAAAGAATATACTTCCTTACTTAGGCTTTTCTAAGCATTTGCCTACAGGTGAAATTTTAACCTACATTTATAGAGGATAAAATCTTTCACCTACAAACTGACAATAACACATTTGCTGTAATCAGACATATCTAGTTGCCTCAACAATTGCAACCCCAGTTGCAATTGGGGTTGCAATTTCAAATTCTGTGGCATTACTAAAAATAGTCAAGTTTCTGGTGCACTCTAAGATTAAGAGAGAAAACGGAGGACTCAGGCGTCCTGATGTGAGAGAAAACGGACTCGTATGACGGGGGACCAAATAAAAAAAAGCATAGCTACATGTTTTGTGGACTACAGTATTAAGCGTACCCTTTTCATCACTTTGTAATAAACCTAGCCATGCCTATGTGTGTTTATGATATTTACCATAACATTATATATATGTATTTAGTGGGTATAAATGGTCGTAAAATGGGAAACTTGGGGTTGGGTCTTGGGTGCCTGGAACCAATTAAAATAAATCCCAAAGGTTCTGTACTTTCGTTATCGGCGGGGTCCCAATTAGGCGTGATAACCAAGGGATGACTGTATATACTTGTGACACTGGCCAGTTGCTTCTGGTGTTATGGTACAGGGGTACCAAGTGACAGCACTAGGTTCCCGCTTCCTCTATCAAGGAATAAACAATTAAAATTTAAATTGAAAAAAAAAAAAAAACATTCAAATAAATTACTATCTTACAAGAATCCCTCCAATGTAAGTTATATTCACCCAGGTCGTTTGGGTGGCAAATTATGAGAAGAGCTTAGTCACTCTTAAGTAATGATAAATAAACACGCAGGCAGGCCTTCAGCGCCAACTGTCAAATCTTATCTCAAATAAATAAACAAACAAACACCAGACATTCTGTCACCCCCCCAATCCCCCCCTCAAGCTAACCCAGAGATAAAAGATTGGTGATTTCTCTATGTTTATTTTATATAATATCATAACATCTCAGACTAAAGTTACAATAATATAAATTGCATTGCTGAAATCCTTGCAAGACAGAGATTAATTTAAATATAAGCGTCATATATTTTGCTCAAGATATAAAAAATGTAGTACATTAGTGTACAATACTGTAGTACATTTCATAAAAAGTTTTTCAACTGTATTTTTGGGTAGATTTACATAAATTTCTTCATTTATTTTCACCCATTTACATTTACACACCATACTA